ATAATATAATGCTCACGAAATTTAATTAAATCAATCTCTGAAAAAGGCCCCCCAAGAAACCCCTACCTTGATACCAAAGCTTTTGCTAGAAATGTAATGTGTTTTCCCAAATTTCTACCACCTTCACAAACTTAGTCTTCCTCTCTATCTTCTTTTCTTTCTCACTTTCTCCTTTTTCGATTTCTTTTTCTCTTCTCATGCACAACTATGCATGACGATTAGTAGTGAAGGGTCCTATTTATACTAAACAGAGGCGGCAACTATCCTATACTTTCATTGGCTGCATGTTGATTTGCTTCAGCTGTGGATAACTATTTCTAAAATCATAACAGCTCATGGTTAAGTTGCTTAGTCACAAAGACAGATGTGAGCCTTAGTGTGCAGCAAGCAAGTGTAAATGAGTTTCACATTTGCTTAGCTAATATGCAATGCAATGTAAACTTGCCAACTATAACAATTAAAGTTAAGAGGTGTTGCATGCAAAAGGTTACGTTTTCTATTGCCCAACTCTAACAAGATCATGAACTAATAGTGAAAATTTGCACAAATGCTAACTACGTGGAGTGTAAAATAACTCTTATGCATGAATTATTATTATTTTTTTTATATTTTATTTTAGATAGCTATGCACAAGATGCTATTTAAAAGCAATTTTTTAAGAACATCATCAAAATTATTGAATTTGCATAAAGTGAAGCACATAAAACATAGACTTCCATAAATAATTATAATTATAATTTAATATTTACTAAAAAATAAAATATTAACATTTTTAAGAATAAGGATTCTCACAGTACTTGTCCACTTCCCCTTTTTCATTGACCTTCATTTCAAACACCCACTTCACTCCAATGGTTTTCAATCCTGGTGGCAGCTTCATTAATTCCCACGTATTGTTCTTTTCGATGGCTTGTATTTCTTGATCCATAGCTTGTCTCTACTTTTCAGACTTCACAGCATCTTCAAAGGTCGTGGGATCTTGATTAATTAATAATGTCAAGTGAGCCATGCTAGCACTTTCATCATCAGATAGGTCCTGGCCTGTTTCATAATCTCTCATCCAATTTGGTGGTCTTCGAATTTGTTCCATACGAGTTGAGATCTCGTCTGGTTGAATGTTTCCTTCAACTAATGAGCCACTGTCAAACTCGGATTTAGTCTCTCCCGCAACTTCATCAGTTCCAGACTCAAGTTCACTTTCCTCCCTTAATGTGCTATTTTCTTCATCTGTATCTCACTCAAGATCTGCCACCATAGCTTCCTTGTGACTGTCATTCCAACTCTATTGTTGATCCTCTTCAAACACAACATCTCGACTTATAATGACTTTATGTAAAACAGGATCAAACAATCGATAAGCCTTAGATTCTTCACTTACCTCAAGTAGTATGCACTTACAGCTCTTCGCATCGAGCTTCACCCTTTTGGTATCAGGTACGTGAACGTGAGCAATGCAACCAAAAATCCCGAAATGATCCACAGATGGTTTGTGTCCATTCCAAGCCTCCTCATGTGTCTTGTTCTTCATGACAAGGGTAAGGCATCGATTCAACATATGCACTATCCAATTTACTACTTCAAGCCAGAAGGTTTTGGGAATTTGTTTTGCAGACAACATGCTTCACACCATGTTCATGATGGTGCGATTCTTTCTTTCTGCAACCCCCATTCTGTTGGGGAGAATAGGCTGCAATTAGCTGCCTATGAATCCCATTCTTATGACAGAAATTTGTAAACTCATGTGAGTTGAACTCTCCTTCTCGTTATGTCCTTAGACTTCTTATAAATGCCCCAATTTCTTTCTCTACTCATGCTTTGTAGGATTTGAATGTACCAAATGCTTTTGACTTCTCTACTAAGAAGTAGACCCATGTTTTTCTGTTGAGATCATCTATAAAGGTGATGAGATACATTTTATTACTGTTCGAAGTAGGGTTAATTGGTCCACAGATGTCAACATGCACCAACTGAAGTACCTTTGAAGCTCTCCATAAGCTTACTTTGGGAAATGGATCTCGATGTTGTCTTCCTACCAAGCAATCTTCACACACCGTTTGAGAGGCTGTGAACTGAGGCAATCCTTCCACCATTCGCTTCTATTGAAGTACTTTAAGCCTATTCCAACTGAGATGCCCATAGCAACAGTGCCAAAGTTGTGCTTGATCTATGGTGAGGGAGGAAAAACACTTTTGTTCCTTTGGTGAACAGCAGGCCAACACTACAAACATTCTATTGTGACTCATCTTGGTCTCCATGATTAGACCTCTCTCAGAGTGAAAAATCTTGCACCTTCCATGTTGGATGAGTATTGTAAGTCCATTCTCTTGCAACTGACCAATGCTTAACAAATTATTTTGCAAATCTGGTATGTAGAAAACACTTGCGATCACATGTATAATGCCATTCACCTCCATTCGCACATTTCCCTTGCCTTGCACAGTCAAGCTCGAATTGTTTCCCAACTTCATGGATTTTTTGAAACTACTGTCAAGCTCACAAAACATGCTCTTCTTGCCACACATGATTGCTGCACCAAGAATCGAGAAACCCTATGTGCTACATTGTTGCCTCCTTGGATTCCACAAGTGCCATTAACAACATCTCTTCCCTTGTCTCCACGTAGTTTACTTTCTCTTCTTTAGGTTTCCTAGGACACTCCCATTGAAAGTGCCCTAGTTCATGGCAATTATAGCATTCTAGGGTTGACTTGTCGAACCCTTGCCTACCCCGTCATCTTCCTCTTCCCCGATAAGTTCCTCCTTGCTGGACTCCATAAGTAACTAGGAGTGCTTGTTCATCCACCACATGTTGACTCATCCTTTGCTCGTGCACGAGAAGGCTACTCTGAAGTTCATTTATAGATAAGATGTCCAGGTCATTAGATTCCTCAACCGAATAGACAATGTAATTGTATTTCAAAGTCATGGACCTCAAAATTTTCTCAATGATCACCACATCATCCATCTTCTCCCTGTGAGTTCTCATCTTGTTGGCTATGGCGAGTGTTCTCCCAAAATAGTCATTGACTATTTCTCCATTCTTCATGTGCAGTACCTCGAACTACTTGCAAAGAGCTTGAATTGAACATGTTTGACATGTGCAGTTCCTTGATATTTCTATTTCAAGGAGTCCCATATATCCTTCGCAGTATCCTTCTTCAGAATGGTCTCCAATATTGACCGAGCTATGGCTTGGAACAAATAGTTCTTGGCCTTCAAATCCTTCGGCTTCAGTTCATCTAAAGTCTTATTCTATGCTTCACTGGAATCTGATCCCCCTGCTGCTGCTGCAGTGATCCCAATCTCCACCAAGTTCCAATACTCTTTGGAATGAAAAAAGTTCTCCATTGGCATACTCTAATGGTCGTAGTGTCCATCAAACCTTGGAATGGCTAGTTGCACGAAACTATTTTCAGATGCCATGGTTTTGTTTCTTCACTCTTGCACCTAGGTTGCACTCTAGCATGAGCCACACTATTACCTTCACGAGGCTGATAAACCACCTTTGCATTACCCAAC